TATTTTATTTTTTAGAGATGGGGTCCAGCTATGTTGCCTAAGCTGGAATCCAGTGACTCTTCCTAGGCTCAATCATAACACATTGCAGCTTCGAACTGGGTTGAAACAATCCTCCCTTCTCAGCCTAACAAATAGTGGGATTACAGGCCTGCACCACTGCACCCTCCCTCTATGCTCTTCTTAACAAGGCCTGGCCTCAAGGGAAACTATTTTACCAGAGCCTAGCCACCCTGGATTTCACCAGAACCTATCCAATTTGAAAAAAAGGAACTCCAGCCTGCTCTTGCCTTCCAGTCTCACCTGAAGGGGGGGTGAGAGGAGGCTGAGAAGCACTTGTGCAGGTCAAGGGCACAGGCTCACTACAAGACTAAGACTTAATCACAGGACTGTAGCATGCTCCCCGCTTTCTCCACCTCTTATTTACCACTGACTCAGAGGGGCTGCTAAATAACAAGAGAGGGCAACAGGAAAAACTATAAGGCGTACACCTTATTTAAGAAGTCTCTAGAAGCCCAAAGATGACAGAGGAGACAAAAACAAGGACACCAGAGGAAAGTTTGCCCTCTGACATCTATAGCTATAGCAAACAGTAAACACAGCCCCACTTCTATCCAGATAAACATAAAACTTCACACCTTAGTTCCTTTTACCAGCCAGGTCCATCACACCTGTCTTTCACCAAAAAATCACAAAGCATACTCAAAACAACAACAATAAAAAAAAAAAAACAGTCTGAAGAAACAGACCAAGCATCAGAACTAGATTTAGATACAACAGAGATTTTTTTTTTTTTTTGAGACAGAGTCTTAAGCTGTCACCCTAGGTAGAGTGCGGTAGTGTCACAGCTCATAGCAACCTCCAACTCTTGGGCTCAAGCGATCCTCTTGCCTCAGTTTTTCTATTTTTAGTAGAGACAGGGTCTCAGTTTCTGCTCAGGCTGGCCTCGAACTCATGAACTCAGCAATCCACCTGCCTTGGCCTCCCACAGTGCTGGAATTACAGGCATGGGCCACTGCACCTGGCCTACAACAGTGATTTGAACTTATCAGACCAGGAATTTAAAATAGCCATGTTAAGTAATTCAAGGGAAAAGAGACAACACACAAGAACAGATGGATAATATAAGCAGAGAGAGGAAAATTCTTAAGAATCAAAAGGAGGCTCGGCGCCTGTGGCTCAAGCAGCTAAGGTGCCAGCCACATACACCTAAGGTGGTGGGTTCGAATCCCCAGCCCGGGCCCGCCAAACAACAATGATG